ACTCTTCAAAAAAATACCGCTCACAGTATACCGATCTGGAGCCATACTGTGGATGGCTGAGATCCTGCACCACTTTGAAACCATGGGAAACCGGGAAATCCTCATTCTAGGGTTTCTTGGGTGGTGCGAAATGGCTCTCGTCCATCCACAGTAGTGTTCTGGGGCGTATGTTCAATTTATCTGTGGACAATGGTTTCATGGTTTCGTCCATGGAAAGATAGTATTCACAGGCAAATCATCGTTCCACGGTCTCCCAGGTGGTGCCAAATGGATTTCGTCCACAGTAGCACCGACATGTGACGATGTCTGGTCCCCGGGACCCCTCCCCGGCTCCCCTCCCGCATCAAGCTCTTGCTTTTCAACCAAACAGGGTACTAGGGTGTTCTGCCTTTGGCGTCCCCTGAAAACAACCTCAAAAGGGTTCCCCCCAAACCTTTGAACACCCAAAAGCAAAAAAAAAAAACTACAGATCATACCAGAACCACAAACCAGACCATACAAATCAACCACTTAAAACAAAAAGACGACATAGCAGAAACAGTACATCCAGTACTTGTTCCCTGGTATGAAAGTGGTTGAAGTTCAGCCGGTCCTCGAAGCTGTGCATCATCGCCAGCAGCGCCAGAGCCTCTTGCCAGCAAGTGCCCTTCCTCACGCCAGCTTACGCTGAGAAGCCAAGTGGACATGGGGAAAAAACTGATTCAATCCAACCACTAAATAGGTTCTAAAATGGGTGGTGAATTTGCCAATCCCCCAAAATGGGATCCCAAAACGGTCTTGAGCCAGCCATATATACATATATTTGGAGTCTCCTTCTGGTCATGACCCCAAATTTTGGGGTCGTTGACCCATTTTACAGGGTCATGGAGACTCCAGGTAGACCTTATTATGGATTGACTTACAAGGGAAACCCTTCCTAAAACAAAAGGAAACAGGGTGTCACTGGGCAACTGGGGAGGGGGGCGGGGGCAAAAGCATTTCTTGGGTTTGCCTTGACTTAAAAAAGGCGCAACAACTGGGAGAACTAGAAGGTCAATAGGTTGGCTTTGGATGGACCATTGAGTACAAGTAGAAATGCACCGGGGTGAAAGTGGATGGCAATATTCCCTTTCTGTCGGTAAGTTCAGGCAATGATGAAACCACCTACATTCAATTGAAGAACGATCTGTAACAAGTAGTAGACCAACCTCAAAAGCTTGGCGTTGTGATTGAACCTTAGCACAACGACCGAACTCTCAAGGATGGCTGTAGTCGTAGTCTACGACCCAGTTCAGGTTGGCTTTGGGTTCGGACTTAAACAGGGCTCCCTATGTTTCCCCTTCAAAACATCACCCCCACCAAGGGACACTCACCTTTCCTGGGCCAAAAGGACGACGCTTACAACCAACAAGAAGCGACAGACCCCTGTACAAGTCGACCCAACTTGGTAGAACTTTGGCTGCAAGCGAGTTTCTGACAGGACGAGATCGTGGAGTTGAAGCTGACCTCGTAGCGAGGCGAGGCGAGCAAAGCGGGAACGGAACCGCTCAAGGAGTTGAAGCCCATCAAAAAACCGGCAAAGAAACATGACTCACATCAGCTATCAAAAAATCCCGTTTCCCAGACCTTCAGCTGGACAAGGCTTGCCTTTGCCACACCTCCTCCAGAGGAAAAACGCCCCTCTGGAGGTCTGGGGTATTGAAAGCTAGCCACAAAACAACCATAGAAAAAGATCAAAAGGGCAGTCGCCGCATCGATTTCTGAAGCCAACCCCAGTACTCAAATGGTCGTTGCCAAGATGTGGCTAGCCACCTGGGCTGTAATCCGCTGAAATCAAGCTTAAATTCACTTGGGGGACTTGCAAGCGGGTCCTAATTTAGTACCAGTAGGGAATCCAGTCTTGATTGATTGGTTGACCTGACTAAGCCCGAAATCGAAATGTGTTCACCACTCTAAAAGCGACCTGAGTTGGGCTTGGAGCTCTTTGACTAGTTGGAGCGAATCAGAAGAGAAACACATACCCAGCAAAGGATTGGTGCGCCCGGACTGGAAAATCTTGGTGGGTATAGTTTAACGCATCACTGCTTTAGACAAAAAACATTGCTTTTGGAAAGAAGCCTGCATCCCTATGCGGGAGGAAAATCGATATTTGGGGACGAAGAAATCCCTCGATATTTTCCGGAAGGAGTAAAGATCGCCCTTGAAGGATTCGGGAATCGCGGTCAAATCAGAGTTCCCTATCAAGGTTCCTTATATAGCTCCTTTACGCATCACCCTACCCAAAGGAAACCTCCCCCCCCCCGCAATTAACACTACCAAAGTTTTGTGCGGGGAATGTCTTGGCATCCGGGCACGATTTGGTGCCACGCCCATCGTCAGCAAGGTCTGCAAGGCATGCTGCCAGCAACCAGCCTGCAGATTCGTGCAACTCCTTCCCTCACTTAAGCGGATTAACCAATAGTCCAAACTTTGGGTTTGCCATTCTCCGTTGCTCCTTAGGGACCCAGAAATGGAAAATCAAAGCCAAAAGGCCTGTCCAAAACCAAACATATCCAAAATTAGTTGACCCCCCCCATTTCAGCGGAGACTTCCTTTGGGTCTCTCACTTGAGTAGATTGCTCAGAAGTGCAGACTGTTCATTTGACCAACAGATCCAAGTCCAAAACGCTCAATCCAGCTGCCTGGAAGTCTGGAAGTGACAAAACAAAAAAACGGCTCCCACCACCACCACATCCAGCTGTTCGGCAGTGACCTCCTGTTGCCCTAGGCCCTGGTTGGTGACGCCTGGTCGAAGCAGTGGATCAAAGCGTTGCAGCTGCCAACGCAGGGCGCCGACCTGAGCTCCAAACTCCAGCGGCGGAATTCGAAACAACTCAGCCCTTCACACATAGGTAGCTGATGGCCAATGCTAGATGGAGCACCCCCTGCTGTAGATCAACCATGGCCAATGCTGTAAAAACAGGATGTGGAAAACGGGAATCAGTGGAGGTCGACCTTTTTTGCACTTAGTTCAGCAAGGGTTCCAATGACATGCCGATGCTACGTGGAGCACACCCCCTGTAAACAAACAAATGGGAAAAAGGGCCTCACTGGAGGTCGATGTTTATGGACTTTCACAAAAGGGGGTTTCAGTCTACGCCTGGGCATTGACTTTAATGGACTTAGTTTCAGCAAGGGTTCCAGTCTACTCCTAGAAAATCACCTTGAACCTGCCCAGCTTTGGCCACTTGCGAACCTGAAAGCGGAAAAGTGCCCTTTGACCAGTTGGGTTACCAACCCCGCCGCAGGTTGACTTTTTTTGGTCTCCAAGATGCGGCATCCGGGCGGTCCACTGCATCTCCTGCCATCGCCAAGATGAGAAGAGGTACCAAAGGGCTAGAGTCAAGTTGCATTGGTACCACTGGCTCCCCGGAATCTGACAAGCATTCACCAAGAAAACCTCATCGAGCCCTTTCAATCTGCCAACATGGGGTACGGTTTTGTGACTATTGTGGATGGACAAAATCCTGCACCACCTAAGAAAGCCTGGAATGATGATTCCCTGGTAAATGCCAACAAACAAGGGTTTCAACCATGGTTTCAAAGTGGTGCGAAATGGATTTCGTCCAAGCACTGTATCACCACTTGTTGCCTGAGCTCTTAAGCAAATAGCAACCGGCCTGCAACACGCTATGAGGCTGGGGTCCGGGCAGCAAACATGTTTGTTGCAGCCCTCCACACGCTGAACATCACTCAATGACAAATACAACCCAAACATAAACTACAGAACCGACAACAACGAAAACAGACACACAGACACACACATACCACCCACACAACAGAGAAAAAAATGCCCAACAAACAACAACCACTATAATAGACACACAGTCAAAGCAAAAGAAGCAACACAACCACCAAATACACATACCCATGTCAAACCAAGGCCAAAGAACTAAAAGCACTAAATACGCTGTATACACGCTCAGTCGCACTGTTCGTCTCCTGGTGAAGGGCCATCGCCTTCTCCCACACACTTCTGCTGGATGAGATGGCCGAGATGTAGTGGGCCTGCCAAAACCCTGTGGCTCCCCCAAAACCGTTGAGCTGGAAGCCAGATGTGTTGATCTTTGTTGCGTGTTGCACAAAAGTATTCAAGGTCAAATAGAATTCGATGTGAAAAGCAAAGTCTAGCTCAAGGAAAGATGCGAGATCCACCAAGCTCAAACTGGGACTTGTTTTGGCGAGGTGCTTTCAAAACGGGACGGGTTGCCCCAAATCCGTAGCCGAATCGCCGATCGGCCAAGCACGGCACTTCCAGCCCTTGATAGGACCTGACTGGGAGCAACCACTAGTTCAACAGTTGTGCTTTGAGGATTTGCTGTAGCGTGCATATCGCCATATCCCCAAGATTCAAAGAACTTAGGTGAATTCATCCAATAGTGCTGACCACTATCAACCTCTTCCCAACTTGAAGGAAATGCCAGAGCTCACCCTCCCCAAATCAACCATATTTCGGGAGAATGGCTGCCGGGTTGCCCAATGCTTCTTCCTTCCCCTCTGGTTTTCTAGAAAGTTTGCTGGAAAGAAGGATCCCTGAACCTTGGAACTCGGAAGTTTCCCCCAGAATTCTACGTCATTCAGAGTACAGATATTCAAGCCCATGGTCCCATCCAAGCTATCACCTAACCTCCATTTGCCTAAGCGCCCTGAAGCCGCTATCTAATGTTGATAGATTCCCTTTAAAACCAACAGGGGAAAATGACAAGCACTGAGCAAAATGGAATCTACCGGGTAAATTGTAATATTTCACAACCCTGAAATAAGGTGGTTGGGCGGCTATTCCCAACATAACCCACCATTTGGGGTGAGGTCGTGTGAGGTCGTTACAATTCACCCAGAAGCTAAGGGCCCTTCCAGACCTGGTGGACGTTGGAAGGGGAGCATTGGTTTTTTGTTGCAGTTCAGTGGGGATTTCCCACTAAACCACAAGAAGCAAACATGTAAAATGTTTCCCAACAGCAACCGTGCAGAGTCGCCCCGCCTGCACCGCCTGAACCGCCGCGGCGGCTTCTGGCTGCAGCTGCTTGCGCCACATCTCCGACAGCAGCTGCAGCGTGGCGCGCCAGCGCCCGTCGCTGGCATCCGGGTCCGGGTCGCCCAGGGCGTTCAGGGCGGCGGTGTAGCAAATGCCGTTGGGCGAAAGCCTCGGCTCCCAGGGAAAAAAAACCAGACAGGAACCACCAGTTGGATGGTTCACTTCGGGGCCATTCCAACTCATTGGGTTGTTGAGTGACCCCTCTTTGTAACAAGAAAAGCCTTGAGATTTTCATCGAATCAGCCCCTTCAGCCCCTTCAGACTTCGGAGCTGGCCCACTGATGGGCGGGTCATTTGACTCGGAAGCCTTTGATTGGGATGCCCCTTGTGATCCGCTGCATCTGGCCCTTCCCATTCGATCCGCGAACTTGAGCATTGGGGAAGCCCTTGTGCGTCAGGCCCGATAAAAAGCAGGTCTCGACTCGGAAGCCTCACTAAACCTGAGTGGATGGCCCAAAAGCCCGAAGTGATTGATCCAGCCCCAAAAAGTCCAGCCCCAAAAAACGGGTGAGTTGGTAGAGAACTCAGGGGCACCCGCAGCAGATGGTCCATGAACTCGACTCTGAGTTGTAGAGAACCCCGGGGGTCGATCCACTCGATCCATGGCCTGCGGCGGGCCATGCCCCGCAGCAGCTGCAGCGCCACCTGGGCTATGAGTCAAAATTTAACCAGGAATTGGACAGGTTTTAGTCCTGGTTGCAACCCATTTGCCAGACCAGTCACCCATTTGGCTGTGGCTCAAATAAATGGAACCAAAAATGGCACCAAAAACAAAATGGGTAACCCATTGACTAAAATCCGCGTAACCCTACCTCTTTAATTTTGAGCCACACCCATTTACGCCTGAACATTGCAACTTGTAAATGGTGGTGTCCCTGTATTTCGGTATTGAAAAAGCCATTCATGTTTCAAATGGTTTCGCAAAATGGAGATCTTTTTTAAGGAGCCCTGTTCCATTTACCAGACCAGTCACCCATGGGGTCACCCCATTTTTCCCCCCCGCCCCGCCTGCCACCGCCGCGAGCGCGCCACCGGCTGCAGCGCCGCGCCGAAACTCACCACGTCCAGGGCTTCAGCGCCGTCGGCCGAAGCGCCGCCGCCGGAAGCTTCGGCGCCCGCCTCGCGGACGGCCGGCTGACGTTGGTCCCTTCCCCTGTGGTTTTTTGGAAAGTTTGCTGGAAGGGATCCCTGAACCTTGGAACTCGGAAGTGTCCAGTTTCCCCCAGAATTCCTTTTTCATTCAGAGTACAGATATTCAAGCCCATGGTCCCATCCAAGTTATCAAACCTCCATTTGCCTAAGCACCTTAAAATTCAACTATCTAATGACAGATTCCCTTCAAAACCAGGGGAAAATGAAACAAACTCTTCGGCAAATGGAAGCTAAGGGCCCTTCCAGACCTGGTGGACGTTGGAAGGGGAGCAAAATTGTTTTTTTGGCAGTGAAGTGGTTGGATTTCAACCACTAAACAACAATAAGCAAAGATGCAAGCTGTTTCCCAACAACAAACATGTACAGAGAACAATGGGCTTGCTTTTCGGAGAGAAGCCGAAGGAAAAACCAGTCCTTTTGATTCCTTTTTAGGGGGTCCACTCTGTTTTGACACGTCCACAACTTGTTTTCTTTTAAGGAGAGGGGGGAGCTGTTTGTGTGTTTTGGGGGGAAAGCACAGGAAGCCGATCATTTTAGGGGGCCACAAATCCGTGTCTCCTCTGTTGTGCTGTTTTGTTGTTCATGTGTGTTCTTTAATGGCACTTCCAGAGAAATCGAATCTATACCATGACTTCGATTCATAAAAACTAGTCCACAGATGCTAGGCCTTTGCTCGAACATGTATTATACTTGTAATTATGGACCGCTGCAAGGCGTTTGGAGGCTCTCCGTGGGCACTCTGGGAAAGAGTGCCTGGGCTTGCGCTTGGTGTGTTGGCTGTGTCGCAGCTCTTTGGGCTTCCTTCACGTTCGCTTGTAACCAAAAGCTCGCTGGGTCCACTTGTCTGGCCATAGTCGAGGAAAGGATCATTGGGAGCCATTGAGGATTTGGCCGCCAAGGGCCCGTTGCATCTGAATAGGGGCACCTTGCAAATAGGTGGGCTTTGCATTGCAATCTTGCAAAATCAACACCCACATGGGTGCCAATGGGTGCCCTCACAAAGTCAGACAAAACGTAAGGTCCAAAACAAGGGTTGTAAGATCAGGAGGGTTATCCAACCACTTCTGTGATACAAGGGAAGCCCCTCTTTACATGGGGGGGGTAGTCTTTGGGAGGCCCTTTTTGCTGTATCACAGCAGTGGATTCCATTTCCCACAGCGGTTCTATCCATTTACCAGTTAGGAGCACCTCCCACCCAATACCCTCTGTTTCTGGGGCATGATAGGCTATGACAAACCCCCTGACTAGAATCTTACCCCTTAAAACTCCAAGCCCTGGGGAAGTTGATCTTTTACAGACATATAGCCCATGTTACCCAAAAAGTTGAAAAGTTGTGTTTTTAAGAGGTAAGGAATTAATAGTCTTGTTTCCAAGACGGGCTGCGGCGTCACACCGACCCGAAGGCTCTCTCCGTGGCCCCCGGCCAAAACAGCCACGGCCATCTCCCAGCTGCGGCCTCCGAAAGACCCCGAGCGGTCCCATTCAAGCAAGGCGCCGCGTAAAAACAACAACAACAAAAGACCGACTCAAACCCTTGAACATGGTTGAAATCGCAGCCTCATATCCTTGAACATGGTTGAAATCGCAGCCTCATCTTTTGCGATGTCCCATCTTTATTGGCGCTTCGTGGGTCATTGGTTTGTGGGTCCAGGTACGCTTCGGAAGACAACCACCACCAAACATCGCGGTGTGCTTACCTTGTTGGACCATCTGGCAGCACCCCAAACTAACGTGCCCAAAGGCCCTGGAAAACAAATCTCGACCTTTTTAAACCGCGAGTCGACAACAGAAATGGGCATGAAACTTAATGGGGGACGCTTTGGTGGACATCGTTTTTTTTTTTGGGGGGGGGGGTTGTTTTGCTTTGAGCAGCAAAGCGATTTGTTCCCCTTCGTTGCGCCTCGGGCACAGGCGCTGATGGCGTTGTTGTAGGCCAACACGTCTGGGGACAGAAGTAGGCCACGCATCTGCGCGAGCCTAAGCGGTTGACCGCGGAAAGCACCGAAGAACCGCGTTGCCATGGAACCTGAGGGGTCCTGGAAAACGACCTTCCTTTCAGAGGGATTCCATGTTAGTGGAGAACGGATGTCCTAATGCACCTGGGAACAGGGAAACTCGCGACTTACCGCAATTTCCGTGGTTCAGTGGTCGAGCTTCCGGAAGATGCGGAGGGCATCCGCCGTGTTTCCTGGTTCTTTGGGGTTGTCCCCAGAGTTTGCCCCAAAGGACGGGCTGCGTCCAGGCCTTAAAAACAAAAAATGAGGGACCCCTCAGACCCCTCAACAAAGAAAAGGTACCAGCAGCCCCAACTGCTTCTTGAACAGTACTTGAGTCACAATCAACACCCGGTATCAAAATGGTCTACCCAGAACCATGTAAAGAATTAAGAAGGCGGCGGCAACAAATTTCTGGCTGAGACTGCCCCTTACCAACCTTCATCTACCCGGGTTTTGAGCACGTGGCTCACTTGGGACTTTGGACACGGGAAAAAGCAGATGTTCGGATGTCCCTGGCCAAGTCTCCGAGTTGGTAGCTATGGGCTAGAGTTCAGGATGGGTTCCGCGGGTTGCTGGGGATGTTTCCCGGGCTTCTTGTTTCTTTCTTTCTTTGCAACCCAGAGGCGATCCAAATATAGTGTTAAACCGGGGACTCCCCCATTCTGAACGCAAGGCTTGTCCTTTCCAGAAAACTACTCAAACACCCGGGAAGGTAAAGCCAGACAAGCTGTCTGAAAAGAACAAGGGTTTGGAAGAGAGTGCGGGAGAATGTAAAAGCAATCAACTCCAAACTCAAAACAAACATGTTCAACTGCAGACGACAACAGCAAGGTTACGTCCTTTCCACAGATTTGTGCCCTGTTTTTAGCATATTTTCTCAGCTTCACACTTCAAGCAGTATGGCGAACTCTGATGAGACGCCCCGGCGCTGATGTTTTTG